GACTCCTCCTCGTCATCCTCCAAGGCATCCAGGTAGTGGACCTTGATGCCGCGCAGCTGGTTGAGCTCCAAGCTGCAGTCGCCACCAGCAGCGCAGGTGTCGTCCGCGGCCATCGCAGCTTCGATGTCATCGCTGCGCGCGGCCACAAACGCGAGAAGGGTCACGAGGATGCGCAGTGCCATGGCTTGCGAAGATGGGCACCAAATGCAAATCACTGTGGACCGGTAGGGCAGCTGTGAAGGCTCGAGCCCAATTACGACATTACGACATTTGGCTGCTTAAATGGCGATGCTTCTGAACCGATCGTCCAAATGAGCCCATGCCTGCACCTCTGTCAACCGTAGTGTGATCAGAACACCGCTGACCTGCTGACACGCCCGAACTCCAGAAAGCCCCAAACCCAAGAGTAGACCATTGCCATGAAACCTGCTATTTCCTCCTCGGAGCCTGCCTGGTTGCACTCAGCCGGGGAAACTTCCTGAGCAAGTGCGAGTTTGTGGAAGTTGTTATTGGTGTTGAAGGTTTGGGTGTTGAGGGTTCAGGGTAGAGAGTTCAGAGTCGGGAATGACGGCTCAAAATTGAAGGGGGTGTATGTTGAGCTGCAAGCCATCGTATTGGTAGCGATTCTCGCCCGTATCATGTAGAAGTTGTTCGGCAACGAAGGTTTGTGGGCATTGTAGTCCATCAACTTATGTGTCGTACTGGCAGGCACTAAATTTCAAGTCGACTTAATCGAAGAGCCGAAGCCGAAGACAGTCAATAAATAAAGCAGTGCTCTTATTAGGTGTCTGGCAACAATACATTACTCCTGTTTGTGTTCCAAGCCCCGGTATCCACCCAAATACAAGTCCCGGAAAAAGAATGACGGGACACATGGCTGCAGCTCGGTCGAAACCCATGGGCTCGACTCTTTGCAGGATGGCGGCTAACTTGCCAGCCGTCCGTCGCAGGGCGGCGCCTTTCGCGCAAACATGTCGTCCGTGGTGCGGTGGAACTAAACGGGGTTGAAGAAGAAATGGAATCTTGGCTGAGGCTTCCATACTGAATCCGAAGGCCCTTCGCTCCCAAGCGACTGGCCGCTGGCCTTCTCTTCGTGCGATTGTGTCCACCCGGACCTGCCAGTGCCGAGCCCATGAACCATGACACCAAATCCCTCCCTCCTCCACAATCGACTGAGCAATTTGGGACTCCAGCTTGCTAGAAGTTTTGGATTGGGGATCTGTAAGAGTTTTCGATTTCCTTCTCCTCACCTTCGTGACCCAACATTGGCATCATGGCTTGGAGAGATGTCAACGAGGGGTTCAAACTTCAAACCTGAGGGGCCAGAACTTGCAGCCACTATTTCGAGCTTTGGTGTCCGCAAGAAGCTTACAACAAGCATCGGACATTCTCAGATTTTTGTTACTACAAGTGCCAGTTTTACCCATGCTCTCCCCGCACATTGCCACTGAACCCCAATTAAAAATAATCCTCAGATCTTTTGCTCTTTCCTGTCATACGCTCGCTCTTATCTGGGCATCAGCCGTACACGGGGTTCCGAGACTGAACACATTCTGTCCGAGTCCAGTGTCGAGCTAAAATCCCCACACCAGGGCTTCAAGGCTCCCGGACCAACTTCCAACCAATTGAGTCATTCCCAATCTGAGGGCAACGCGCAAAGAACGCCAGGAGCAGGCATGTCATCCTCGCCATGCTAGAAGCCATTCATTCGCACATAGAATGTAGATTACGAGCAAGTGCAGCCACACAGCCACACAGGCAAACACACACACACAAACACAATCACACACGCAAATGCACGCATTTGTTTTTTTTTTTTTTTGTGTGTGTGTGTGTGGTGTGTGTGTGTGTGCGCGCGCGTGTGTGTGTGTGCCTGTGTGTGTGTGTGGGGTGTGTGTGTGTGTTTGCACGCTTGTAGACGTCTGCATCTCTCGCTCGCTCTGTCTGTTGCATCTGTCCATATCTGTTCTGTTCTCCAGCATAGCATACGAGCATACTACGTCGCCATGGCCTTGGAGATAGTTTCCATAAGGCTCCAGTGCAACGCATGCATGAACTCATCCAACCATCCAACCAGACATACCTGGAGGTGCACAGGCACACACATACATATATACTCGCAAAAATGCATAGATTTTGGTACATACGTACATACAAACGGACAGGCACACAGCCAGGCAAACATACATTGACGTACCCTCACACCAAACGAAACAGCTACAATAGCTAGCAACACACACACATACAAACGAACCGATGCAAACAATCAAACATGCAAGCAAGCAAACAAATCAACAAACGAACAGCTGCCCAAATACACATGCAAGCAAGCGAGCAAGCAAGCAAGCAAGCAAGCAAAACCACATACAAAAGACACATGGACAGACTGACGCACAAACAGACTACCTTCCTACGTCTTTTCACATGCACCTGTGTATATAGTTACATGTACATCCATCCATGCATCCACCCATCCATCATTCCATCCCTCCGTAAGTTCGGCCGTCCGTGCATACTTGCATGCATGCGTGCATGCTTACACTTGTGCATATAAATATAGATATAAATATAAATATAAGTATAAACATATATATATATATACATACACATACATGTATACATAAATACACACACATACATACATACCTACATACCTACATACCTACATACATACATACATACATACATACAGACATACATACATATACACATATACATACATACATGCTTCTGATGCATGTCTGCATAGATGAATATGGGAACATGGGCAGAAACACCCGGCACAACCTGACAGGCTGAAACCTGATATGGAACCAAGAAGTGCAGTATCTCTCTTTCTCTCTTTTTGCAATCATACATGTGTGTGTGCGTCTGTGTGTGAGTGGGTGTTAAGAAACTGTCTACATATCAATGTGCGATGCCCCCAGCATCGTGATAAGGACACAAATTTCAAGAAATGCATCAATGCGCTACTGTGACGGCATCGTGGGTATCGGTTGGCTTACTGCGAACAGGTGCCGGAACGCCCTCGGTCCGAACCACCAACTGTACACTTGAAGTGCAAGTCGACAGAAATATGCCCCACATGCCAAACCTACGCATGTAATCTCTTCCCCTGGTAATCCCCCAATATTGAACCACAATTTTCCCTGAAATGAGCTAACATCACAGGGTCAGTTCCAACATCTTCCCACTGTTCAGTGCTTTATGCTAAACCCTTGCCTGAGTAGGCCGCAGACCCTGAGTGCTAAATTCCTGCGGCTGCTGCCACCTGCAGTTTCCCGGGATGCCTGCAGTCCTCCGTTCCTACGGCCCCTGCTACCCGCAGTTTTTGCACTCACCTGAACTCGTACGTTCCAGTACACGCTCGCTCTTCCAATCGTAAGGTTTCAGATGATGGGATACTCCCTAAACATAAACTCTGCGAGAAAGAGAGAGAGAGAGAGAGATATGGAGGGGGGGTTTAACCTTCGATGCAGTTCTTCTACCCTGGAAGGATATTCTTGGTCTCCTTATAATACCCCCCTTGTGCTGTCCTCTTGGCCCTTTAAAATTCCTCTTCGGACGCATTCCGGTTCAAATGCCCTCCGGCAATTAGGTTTTGATATTTGGGGAGGGTTTACGTATACACAGACGTACGTTTTTTCTATGTCCATGTATGAATAACATGAAGGTACATGATCTGTATGCCCATGCAAGAGCAGGGATCTCGGCGTGACCAAGGATCCCCATATGAGGCAACGACGAGAAATGGTCCTTGGGCACCGCAGCCCCAAACAGAAAAGCCTAAACCCTGTATGATCTCCCTCACAGTCCTTGCAAACGCTGAAGCGTTCTAGGAGGGGGTGGACGAAAGCATCCATCAGGATGTCGTCTTCCTCCAGCGGTGTGCAGGATGTGCAGGATTTGGGGTGTGGGGTCTGGTTTTGAGGGTGTAATGGTTTGAGGATTTGCGATGTCTCGGTTAAAGGACGCCTGACTGCCCTGAATCGTGATCTGGATCGTCACCAAGACACCAAGGCGAAGCTCGATTGCTGCAAACGGTGTCATGTTTCATAACAAGGCGGAAATCGGCGGAAGCAGTCAAGCCCACGACAGGTTCGAAGCGTCGCTACTGTTTGGTCTCGGAGGCTCCGTATAGCAAAGTTCAGGGTATCTCGAAGACCTTAATCAATCAACTCCGCCCAGACGGACAAGCAGTGAACCAATGCATGGCAGCAGCCGTGCCTCCTCTGTACCTTCAGGCGGCAAGGAGAGCTTGTGATGGCCTACGTACCAGCAGACCCGAGCCATGACGGCGCTGTAAACCCTCTGAAAAAACCGGATTGCTGCCGCGCAGGATAAGGTGCCGTGCCTCGCGAAGCTTCAGGTAAATTCGGGGTGCAACAACCTTTTTTCTGGCAGCAAGCCTTGACTTGAATTCACGCCACTTGCTCAAGGAGAAACTGATCCGCATACTCCCGCTGCTGATGGCGGTGATCACGACTACGATTCGATGAACGGTGGTGATGGTGATGATAGCCGTTGTGACGATGACATGCATGCTCATTCATGATGGCAGTCGTCATAATGATGAAGGTGGAAAATCTTTTGATGATTATGATGATGCTTCTGATGATTAAATTATGATGATGACAAAGGTGGAGATGATGGTGATGGCGAGGAGGACGAGGAGGAATGCGATGATGATGATTATGATGATGATGATGATGCTGTTGATGATGATGATGATGATGATGGCGATGATGACGACGGTGGTGGTCATGATCATGCTGACAACGACGGTCATGGTGCAGCTTAGGCTGAAGACTCGTACAGGATGTCGATGCTTGAGACAAGATGACCATCACAGGGGCGAGGATATGCGTGATGCTGCTATATGATATCAATATGTTGCGTTATGAAATTGATCTTAGTTCTCACGGAGATGTTCGCGAAGATGAAAAGAAGCTGGTGGTGACGGTTCGGGCGGCAACGGCGGTGCCGGAGGCTGCTGCTGCCACTAGTGGCGTTGAAGATGTATCAGTCCTGCTGGTGGTGAAGACGTTTGTCAGTCCAATGACGACAGAAAAACGTGTTTTTCTACATGGCAGTGGCACTTGCTGCCAGCGGCCATGGCATGTTTATCGCGTTGCATGTGCAAAGACGGCAAAATTCTTGTGGAAACAGCACCCCGGACTGA